TCTCTCTCATCTCTCTCATCTCTCTCATCTCTCTCATCTCTCTCATCTCTTTCTCATCTCTTTCTCATCTCTCTCATCTCTTTCTCATCTCTCTCATCTCTCTCTCCTCTCTCTCTCCTCTCTGTCTCTCGTCTTTCCGTCTCTCTTCTCTCTCTTCTCTCGCAGGAGGATCCGGGCAAAGAGCCACATATAAAGGACTCTTCACCCCTGCCTCCAAAAAGAGCGCCGTGTTTTTTCCTACCTCGCTGCCCTCCACTTTCCCATTCTGGAGCGCTAGCTTTCGCCCCCCCCCCTTGGCCTCAAGTTGTGCAACACAGACAAGACCTCTTCCATGCGATATGGTGAGTTTTTGGGAGATGGTGCACCGTGCACCATGATGTTTGTGCCACCAGTGCCGCAACCCCGAGATCTTTCAGTATTTGAGCCAATGGATTGGGGCTTTAAGAGGTTTCAACATGTACTTTCATGGTGAAAACGCCGAGCTGGAGTTGTAAAGTTAGAGCTCTCGCATGGTGCGAGTTCCCAGCACTTCTGACCACTGGATCTGATGAACAAGCCGCACCACAAACCGCAGAATGGACCTTTTGGAGGTGACCCTGGTGGCCCATCTAGGAGGGGCTACCAGCTAAGTGACTTCAAACGCATCCCTACCAGTTTTAAGGACCAAGTTTTTCACCTGGTCCTTGACCTCATTGAGTGCTGTTGTTTGCATGACACGCTTTAAAATGAGGTCTGTAAGACCTGTAATTCTTGGGTCCCAACCGCTGCGGGGGAACCCCCAGCGATCCGCTTCATGCCCGTTCCGTTGCGTTCACTTCACCACTCGCAGAGCTGGGAGGTCACTTGACAGCTCCCAGCGCTCCCAGCTGGGTGACAGATATGACATATCGATGATGGGTGATTGGTCCCGATCGCGGAAACGACGTGGAAGGGATGTCGGCAGCGTCGATGGAAGGGAGGCGTCAAGGGCCCATGGCACAGCTCCGCAGGTTCACCCTATGGTGGAAAGAGCTGGACGGGCTCGACAGGACGCAGCTGGCACAATGGGGCTGCCTGGAGAGGAGAGGGAAGGAAAGGAAAAGGATGCTTGGTTTTGCAGGGTGAAACGGTTTATTTTACATGACTAAATCCATGTACATCCCAATGTTCTTAATTGTTGCCTGAATCCTGGGCAAATCCATGCAAATCATATCCAAGGATATGAAGAAAGAGGAGAGAAAGGAGAATCGAAGGGTGAGCAAGGTGGGCGAGCCAGCCGCCTTTGGAGGGAGAAACAACAAACTCACAGGTCTCAGAGGTGCATGTGGCGTAGTTCCAAGTCTAACATAGTAATGCTGTTGTTCCTCCCCATGTGTCCTCCCCATGACACACAAACATATTGGTTTATATACAGACACATGTAGTATGTTAGATCATGTACAGATCATGTGGGCCTGGTTGCTCAAAGATGTGAAAGGCTTTTTCAATGGAGCCACTTCCATTGGAAAATTGTGTGGAGTCGTTGGATCAACATCTTCAAGATGAAACAAAGAATGAGGAGGAGGAGGAGGAGGAGGAGGAGGAGGAGGAGGAGGAGCACACTGAAGTTGCCTCAGTGGAGTACGATGGAAACAAGCAGAAGACAGGTAACATGTAGAATCTTACTAGAGTGCAGGGAATTTGCAACACTTCTCCCTGAACGATAAGTATGAGGAGTTAGTATATATACATGTATGTATATATGCACATGATGTTTACATGGATTTATCCCAGTTCTTTGTGGACTGCCCCAGGTGAGACGAAAGGCGACACGAAGGGCAGCAGTTTCTACCCTGAGCCCAAAGGTGAATCCAAGGGTCACAGTTTCTACGACAACAAAAGTGACTCAAAAGGCAGGAGCTTCTACGGCTGGGGTGGCGAGGTTGGCCGAGAAGGGACGCCTGGCGTTTCTGGCGCCGCCGTTCGGGAGCGGGCGACGGTGACCGACGGTGTTCACCGCAATCCGTTCGTTTTGGCGCCGTTTGGGAGGGGATTGCTTGCTCATTGATACCTAGTGGCTCTTTCGGTGCCTCGAAAGCGAGGAAAAGAACCGGAACCCTAAAGTCAGTGTATAGGAGCCCCTGCACGATGAGTCATTGATCAATGCGGCATACCAGGATGAGTATCTTGGTTTGGTCGACAGTTTAAGTTAGTTCGGCAAGTAGACAACGAGATGATACTAGATGTATATTACCAGGCTACCGCCTGCAGCCGCCGACCCCCAAGGGATAGAACCTTAGCGCTAGCCTTGCTCTATGTTAGCCTTAGCCTTAGCCTTAGCCTTAAGAGTGCAGACCCAACCCAGCACCACCAAAGCAGGTACCCAAAAAGTCGACTTTTTGGGTACCTCCCAGATTTACCATCGGATTCTTGCATGAACCCCGATCATTGCCCAAGAATTTAGACCCAACCCTTCACCACCAAAGCAGGTACCCAAAAAGTCGACTTTTTGGGTACCTCCCAGGTTTACCTATTTAGACCCAACCCAGCACCACCAAAGCAGGTACCCAAAAAGACAAAGCCTAGAGCATTCCTAGGAAAATGCCAGAAAAGCCTTTGAAAATCTCATAAGCCAACAGAAAACGTGACAAAATCTACGAAAAAGCAAGGGCATTGGCCGGGACCATGCCGCGACCAGCCCGGGATTCGAGCCCAGGACCATTTTGGACCGTGCTTATTTTCCCGCGCGGGTCGAGAGGGTGCCCCAAGATGTAAATCAATTGGGATGGCAGATTCTTGGACAATCCAGGTCGCTTTCCCGGCAGGATTTCGTCACTGCAACAAGGGTCCGGAGGGGTAGGGGAGGTAAGGTCTAGGTCTAGGTCTAAGGCTAAGGACTAGGTCTAAGGCTAAGGACTAAGGCTAAGGCCAAGGCTAAGGCTTAAGGCTAAGGCTAACATCGACAGTCACGCCTCACCCCACGGTGTGGGGTCGGCGGATTTATTGTTATGCATGACAAGTAGTTGTATGTCTAGTTTGCAGAACATGTTAATTGAAGGGAGTAGATGTCTAGTTTATTTTTGCCTTTTTGGTGTTCTCTCTGAAAAGCCTAAGTGTTCGTGGAGCCCACCCAAGTACTACAAAATAGTAAGGACTTGGTTGAGTCATAACCTTTCTGGGTCCCTCCCCACTGTGTGTTTGCACTTTTCCGCAACAGCTGCTTCAGGAAAGGGGCCGCACAGACTACGCATGCCCGCGCAAGCGGAAAACAGGGTGGAGGAAATCATGAGCGCGCAGAAGGCAAAGGATTGTGGCAGTAGACCCGAGCGGCTCTCTGCAACGGACCAAGCATGCTGCAAAAGGCTCACGCCGCGTTGCGGGTCTAACAGTTTTCGTTGGCCATCATCTCCGCTGGGAGGCGACGATGGTCTGTTTCAGGCGGCCTCTGGAGGACACTCTAGCACTGACCATCCTCTCAATATCCAGTGGCACCGTGCGTCCGTTTGGGGTTTGTCTCCAACGTAACCAGGATGACCAGCAGAAAGGGGAACCAGCAAAGGTGCCAATTCTTTTTTGCTGTGAACACCAAGGTGGCAAAATAATCAAATAATTCAGACTATTCTAGTGGATCCAGGAATCTTGCTATACTATACAAACCATAGACCTAGCGACCTAGCAGCACTGGATCTCGTGTTCATCGGAGCCTGGATGGCGTCCGATCGAATGGCCTTGATGGCGTCCGGGACGGGTGTGGTTGCTACCCTCAGTCTCCCACCCACAGGCTCCGTTTCTGGAGCCGGCGAGATATAGATTGCCAAATACTGCCCGGAGTTCTGGACGAAACACTGAAAGTGACTCGACCCAATACTTGACCCCTTCTATCAGGAAATCTCAATTGCACCTGGAAAACATCCGTTGACCTTAAAGCAATCTCTTTCTAAGAGTCTCAATAGCACATCTGCAGGATCTGAGATCCATGTCTCCCGTCTCCTGAGGCACCATGCGCTTGCCCAATTTCCTTCAGCAGGCCTTCCCGCCTTCGCATCCAGCGCTGTCCCAGCCAAGAGTCCCATCCGACCGTTGATGCTCCCAAGACCAGTCTACCCATGATTGGGGGTCGCCCGGAACCCCCCCCCACATGAAGAGCTTCGACCATTCTTGTGGCGGGGGTCGTCATGAGCGCGTGAGGCAGAAGAGGTTCGACAATCCAAATGGAGGTGTGAATTGATGAGTCAACAGTCTACAGTGACTTAGTGACTTCATTCGCGTGTCATTGCTGAGCATCGTGGGCCTTTTCGTGCCTTCTTCGAGGGCCTGGCGCAGCCCCGGAGCTCGGACGCCATCAACCATATGGGGGGGGAGCCGGTAAGGCTCATGGTCCCAAAACCCACTGGTGGCTGGCCTGGGGAGGCTAGGACTAAATCTTGTGCGCGGGTCGAAGATGTTTCTGGAGCCACAGTTATTTCAGGAATCTGCCAACATACAGGCGAGACCACATGTTCAGAAGGCTCCCTGGTCTTTGCGAAAGCTACAACAAAAAGGGACAGCTCAGGGTGAAACCCTCAAACACGTTTGCTTCAATCTCACAAACCCCATCGGGCTAAAAGTTGAGCATGGTATTGTTGATCCATCAAAACGGGACCCCCAAAGAGCAGCCAATTGGCTAAGCTATGATAATTCTTAAGCTATGTATATCAACTATTATAAACTATTCGATGGATCCTCTACCTCGTCCACATGGTCAGGAATGTACTTCCCGCACCGCAGGCAAAGGCCAGCATTTTCCGGTCGGATGGGCGCTGGTGCTGGGCGAGTTGGTGAATTCGGGCAGTTTTGGTGTTTCCAATTTGTCCAAAGGTTGCCTTGTAAGGGAATAAGTAATAAATATAGTAATATTAGTATAGTGTACATATATAAAACCAGAAATCTTGGGGTCTTGCTTTTCGTGTCCCGGAGCAGGCATATACACTCCCTGAAATAATCATTGAAGTGGAAAACCACCTGTTGTAGAGGAGCGCGGTCATCCAGGCGGCCATTTTCCACTTCCGCAATTATTTCAGTGAATATAGGACAATGTTGCTACATACAAGATCATACAAGTACTAGATAATACTATTATATATCGTGTATAGGGCGATAAATGATGCATGAGCACGCAGAACCCCATTTGCATGATAAAAAAAGATCTTTGTGACCAAAAGCATCAGATGTTGCATGCTGCCAGCAGAGTCCCATTGTGATCTCTGAAAGTGTGGCAAAGACGATCTCAGATGTACCTGCACCCTCCGAAGTACCTTGAAATATGGGACATGACTATATTTAAGAACAAGTACTAGGTACTTGAATACATTGACAGGAGCTGGAAAGCTCGTGCGTGATGAATCCAGTCATTCTAGAGAGCTTGATCTCGTGATGTATATCCACTGCCTGGAGTCTCCTGCTTGCGTTGCCAGAAAATCCTCATATAATGATTAAAATACAAATGCACAAACTGCGACTCCGAGTTCATGCAGAGCCTATGAGGCTCCAGGTCCGATCCTGTTACATCTTTGACAGGGATTGACTTGTTCGAGGTAAGCCTTGCTTACCGAGTTTGCTATATTAAGCTGGAGGCCATCGCTATTAAAGTTGGAGGCCACCGCTAGTAGGTTGGAGGCCATCGCTAGTAGGTTGGAGGCCATCGCTAGTAGGTGGGAGGCCATCGCTATTAGGTTGGAGTTGGAGGCCATCGCTACTAGGTTGGAGGCCATTGCTATTAGGTAGGAGGCTTTGACTCTTTTGAGGTAAGCCTACCAAGTACTTCAAGCAAAGTCCACTAGCACTTCCACTAGCTTTGTTGGCCTCCAAGGATTTTGCGAGTTCCCCTTAAGGTGAATAGGAGTCTCCATGGAATAAATCCACGTTCAAGGCTCCCAAATTTTGCGGGAGTGTTCAATGGTGATCTTCATCAGACTGATCAGACTGGATTTACTGATCAGACCTGCAGAATGATGTTCGTTGGGTTCTTGAGCAACATGGGAAATTCAGGGTGAACCAGCAATCTCATAGATCATTGAAATCGCTTAGCCCCCGCACCCTAGCATCAACCCTGCTCGTCAGCTTCAGCGGAAAGACGGTGGGTCGGAGGTGTCAGTGTCCGCCTGCTTCGACTGTCCAGCATCGATGGCCTTTGAATATCTAATACCTTTTACATCCTTTGACTATTGGTTGGTTGATTCAGGGCAGGAGATGGAAGGGAATGCCCCCCCAAATAAAAAGAACATACCTTGGTATATGGACCTATATAGTATACGGTACCAATCATTACCAATCCAATTGACTCCTCTATTCTTCCCAAAAGGACGTCTCCAGGCGTTTTTTGACCTGTTCGGCCGGCTGTTGTGGAGAGCGTCTCAAAGCCACAGGCGCCCGGAAGCCACAGGTGTGGCGGGTGGGACAATCCATGACACAGAGGTGTGTTTGGAGAGCTGAGCTTCGGGAAATCCCGGTAAAAAGAGTGGGCAGTTGTTGGAGCCCCCCAAAATGAGACAATAACTGATTGTTGTTGTTGTTTTTTTCTTTCAGAGCTCAAAGCTTGGGAGGCGATTGAGCTTTCATTCTTTGCCGGGTGTAGGTTGGGCTCCCACCATTCAAAAATGGCTGCCCCTTGACTACATTTTACTGTATACGAATTGAGCAACACTAGAAGCTTTTGAGGCAATGCTGGAGTTCGTACTGAAGGAGGTCAGGATTTTTCGAGCAAACGTTGGTGGCTGAGGTGGGCTGGCATCTTCCAGCTAAAGGTCGCTATAACGAACTGTTTTGTATTATTATATAATCCTTTTTTGATTTTGGTTGAAGAGAACATCCTGCCGAAACCAGGAGGCGAGAATCCAAAGACGCAAAAGTCAAAGGAGACACTCAGCACCAGATGCCTCTAGATAGAGCATCCAAAGCCTGGTTTGAATCATGTTCTTGCATAAAGTCGCCAGACTTTCCCCTCAAATCTTTCAATCACATCGGCCGAAAAAAGGCCGGCCTTTCAAAAATAAACCCCGCTTGTCCAGCACTTACTGTGAAGGTCTTGGTCTTGGTCTTAGACCGTCTAAGACCTTGATCTTCTCCGGAGAAAAACAAGTACCATCTTTCCCGCCCCAAACGGCGTCGGAACCTGCGGACCCTTAGCTCGGGTCTGCCCCACGCCAGTCCGAGCTGAATGCGGCCCTGCGGAACCGCGGCGGTGCCCAGGTGTGAACGGTGATCGGTGGTTTGAGAGGCTTCCCATCAGGTTATTGCCTGGAACCCCAGTCCCAACCCGAAACTTCATGGACCTTCCGGAAACTCAATTCTTTTACATGAGCAAGTGATTGTTTGGGAAACATCCAGTGATTTCCAGTTGGGACTGGGTTTCCAGGTGGACCATTTGAGGCCGTCCCCGAAAAACGCGCGCGAAGCTTCGACCTCCACAACTCTTCGGTCACACAAGCTCGTCCTGGATGCTGCCCCGTACATGAGAGCACGTGTCACAACTGGGCGGTACAACCTCGGAGCGGCCTATTATATGTGGATGAAATGGATGGTTTTGGAATGTTTTGGGTCACTACATCCTTGGGTCCAACTTGGAGACCGGTATAGCCTAGCAGTCGCGGTCCTATTGGTGTCGACAGGTAAAACGTGATTTTGTATGATTTTGTATGACAGGTATAACGTGATCATCCACACGACTTTGCCCGTGGGATTGCACGTGCCAGGCGCAACTTCGAGCACCGCGCAAGGCACAGTCCAGAGGCGAGATTTGGGTTAAAGGTTGAGGGGAAAGGCCGAACCAGGACTTGATGATGCTTTATTCCTGTCAACAAAATCCATTACAAGAGCTGTGTCTGTCTTTTTCTGTCCTTGAGAGCATTCCCTTCGAAAGAACATCTAACTACGTATCACACATGCGAAAACACGTTCGGAGACCGATCAAACAGCTGCAGCTTGGAGATACTTTCAAGAAATGGACAGTGTCATGCAGTGTTCCTGGAACTCCTGGACCAAAAATACATCAGAATACTGCCACCAGGAGGAAAACATCATTAAAACCTTACCGGACCTCACCCTTAAAGCAACAAACACTTTTTTGGGGCCCAAAGAAGTGGAGAAATTGGACACCATATCCAATGGATGGGGTGACCACCTAGAATACTTTATAGTAGATTCCACCCGGGATCCATTAAGGCACCGCCCGTAAAGCCATGATATGCGTCGCTTGGCTTCACTTGGATCCAAGAGTTTTTGGTATAGGGAATCCAAGGTCCTTTTGTGAGGCTTGGCTGGGTTGTTCACTCGACACCTTGAG